GATGGATGGATGGATGGATGGATGGATGGATGCACGTCTTAGCCCAAGAACTTACTTCAAAACGTATTCACTTATTATAAGATCATCAATAAAATCAAGTACATTTTTTTCCAGAATATGAGCCACAGAACACTACCTTGTCGTCCCAAACATCATACATTATTAAAAACAAGGGATTTCAAGCACAATGTGCTGCAGAAGCTAATCCCGCGCCATATTACATATTCAAGCAAAATAATACGAAAATGCAGAACTCAACTAAAGGTGTGTTTGTGAGTGGCACTTTAACTGGAGACGAAGCTGTTCAGGTCAGCTGTGTTCCATGGAACAAATACGGTTTGGGACCAGAAAGAAAGATTGTTCTTCCAGTGGCCGGTACGTTTACGTACATAAATATTTTTTAACCAAAACCCACGGTTAATCTAGGCTAGTGTACAACAATTATGACCAAACATATTATGGCTTTTCATTAAATTATTGTCTTAATATGGTTTAAATATATGTATATATATTTCTTCACGATATGATAATAAGCTTGTATAAATTTACAAATAATGACAAATAAACTCAAAATATTTACGCAATAACATCACACTGATTAACACATTGGAGGAATAAACCTTGATATCTCAAAGATGAACCACTTAATATATTTTACTATTCAGCTATCACTTCATTTAGAAGTGAAGGCACTTCATTTAGAAGTGAAGGCACTTCAATAAAAGGACGCCTCAGATTTACCAGGCAGCATTATAGAAATTATGCAAGTTAATAATAAGTATGTTCCAATCAAAAAAATGGTTTAACGATTTCTCTTTCTCTCACCTACAGAGAAGCCAAAGTTAAGGAATAACCTGCGCACAAGTTACAACATGACAGCCAAAACTAGCATAACTCTTACATGTAGAGCCACAGGAAACCCAGCACCAAATATTTCATGGACTAAAGGAGAAAGTTCAGAAGTTGTCAGTGTCAAAGAATATTATGAGGTCGACTATGAGTGTTCCAACGAAACCCTCGTTTTCTATTGCACTGCAAGTAATATTGCTGGTAGTGTAAGAAGTCCTCAAATTAAAGTGCAAAGTAAGTAAAGTTCTTAACACAAAAATTTAATAAAAACATACTTAGTGATAATAAAAATGAATTAAACGCCAGAACTGAGATGATTAATATATATCTCACTAATGATATCGCATTAAATGTAGCTGACAGATGCATTATTCCACGGGATAAAAAGGTTTCACCTATTTATGGTAAGCAAAACCCCACACARGCTTAATTTATCATTGGCATGTTATTGATGAATGGTTTGCAATCATTCACAAAAGAGCAAAGGAACAGCGACATGAAGCCACGTTAGTGGTACTAACGAAGAAATATTTTGTTAAATATCATTGACATGGCCACGATGGCGAAGCTTGCAAAAGAAAAAAATATTTATCAAGAATTTCCATGTGCCAGCTTTTGGATTGCTCAATAGCCCCCTTGCATATGACGTCGATCTGGGCCCGGGGACCAAACAATGAAAGAAATTTACATGAGAAATGTTTTCAAAATCTCAAGGGAAGAAAACTTAATTGTTTTGACCCCCGGATAGAGAATTAGTGCARGGGGTCTATAGGAAGTCTAAAGCCAATGAAATTTTGTTAGATGAAATATATTATTCATTTAAGTCAACGTCTCACATTGTCAATATGATCAATGCCTATTTTAGAGCCACCTTCGTTTGCCAATGATCTGGTCACAAACTACAGCTTGACTACAAATAGCATAAATATCACCTGCAATGCTACAGGGATTCCAAAGCCAAGTATCACATGGACTAAAGGAGAGAGCAATGAAGTTATCAGCTCCAAWGAATACTATGAGGTTCCTTTAAAAAATTATGACAAAAGCAAGCTGGTCTTTTATTGCCATGCAAGCAATGTCCTTGGGAAAGCAAGAAGCTCTGAAATTCAAGTGCATGGTAAGTGTTATCGATTCGAAGCATTTCAATAAGTATCCAATACTTTACGCAGTTTTTCTTCTTCTGTATTTTACAACAGGATGGGGAGCTATATTCACCTAGAGTAAATTGCAACAACAGTTGTAGCACATTCTTGCAAAAACAACGATGTCGTATATTTTTTTAAATGCCTGCAATTTTTTGTTACAATATTTTACACTTGCACACGCATGAAAATGTAGATGCCGAAACTTATTTCTGCCAGCGCGAGAAATTATACTGCATTAGGTAGGACAGAGTGGTTCACAGATAATTGAGTGAGCTACTGATACTGCCGACCAGGTGTTGAGTAAGTGGTTGGTCAACTTAGGGGTTGTCTATAAATCCAATGTATGCATCGTATAGTCAATCAAGTTTTTTTTATATTTTAGTTATGACAAAAGATAAGGATATTGAATATTTAAAAGGTAAGCTTAATAACACGTGCGCTTGATCTTAAAAATTAGTTATCTTTATAGTTCAAGTAAACAATCAACTTCGTTCCTCCTTCCTTACTCTTGCTATTCTCCATCCTTCCTATCTCTTTTCCTTTCAATTTATYATAATTTATYATAACGCATACCATAAACWGATGACCGTATGAGGTTTTGTTAAMTAACTTTTTTGCAATATGTGAAATAACATTGTYTTCTTTTACTACCTCAAGTTGGCCCTGACAGGAAAAAATATGAGATTATCGTTATCACCGCTGTGTCACTAACTGTCGTCTTCTTGATGGTCATCGTGTTTGCGGTGATTATAAGAATCTGCAAAACGGGAACTTCACGAATTAAAGGTAGAGAGTGTGTGTGTGTGAGAGAGAGAGAGAGAGAGGGCCGAGAGAAGGAGAGAGGGAGGGAGGGAGATAGAGAAACAGACCAAAAACTTGTAGAATATAGAAAGGAATATAGAATATTGATCTATGTGACAAGATGACCCCAAGCAACAAGCGCAGACTCGGTTAGTTTTAGCAATTGCTCCATTAGAATATATTGATCGAATTGTTGCACACTGAAGCAGATTATATATGATAGTAAGGAACTAACAAAGTGTTAGTGAATGCATTCTAATTGGCATTGAGTATTGCGCACACTCTGATTGCTCCAAAAGAGTTTGTAGTTTCAGCACYGTTACTGTGTCATCTGTTGTCTCGTTTTATATTCATACAAAATCTGCTCTGTAAAGATGCACCCCGTGACAGGACCTGTACTAAAACCATGTATTTTTCCCCCAAAGAACACAAAGAACCACCACACGTAGAGCAAGTAGACGCTGTACCAATTATCGTAAGTGGTAAGGTTGGAGAAGTAGTCCCTCATCACGAAGGACCTGCACTACGCGACCATTGAAGAGGTAGCGTACAAGGAGAAAAAGAAAAGCTTTTTTAAAAGAAAGAAAAAACCACCTGCAAATGACGAAAAGGTTGAGAAGAAAGGTGGGGATCCARTTTACGCTGTGGTGAAAAAAGAACCGCGTACAAAAGAAACAGTTTAGATCGTTATAATGGCTGAGTACTGATATATTTAACACTTCATGCGGAAGATTCGATTTTTTGATAATGCTACTCGTATGTAAAGATAATCAAATTACGCTTTTGATAGTTAGCAAAAATAGCAAAAATGATTAAAAAATCGGTCGATAATGATGAGCAAKGTTGCTCAATATTAACAAACTAAGTTAATCAGTTTTTTTAATACTTTTATGAAATAACAACTACATGTTCTTTGGGAAAATGAGGAAATGCAGTAGCAAGTTGGTAACAAGCTATTGGTTCTTCCAATAAAGATATATTCAAATTTACTACTCTAATACTTAATCATTACTTCTTCTCACACCTAAACGGTGAGACGGTTATCGACGTCATCGCCAAAGCGTCTTGACAACTCGACATCTGCCATTGTTTTRCTCACATTGATTGTTAGCTAGCATAATCGTCAGGCCGCTGGAAGGAAATGCTTGCAGTTTTGTAAACARTTTAAATGTAGAATGTTTAAAATAAAGTAGTTTCGAAGCTGTTGGCTTGTTGTAATGTTTAGTCGTAATTTGCTCGAAACATCGAAATGACTAGAATTAATTTCTGGCGCGCCTTTGCCGGCCAACCACCTTTACCTTGGCAATGATAGTTATAAGTAATTATCCATGTGTAAATACAAGGTCAAAATATACTAAATCAAGCATTGCGTTTCTATGCATAATAACCATATAACCAAATACAATTTGCGACAAGCTTTTTTTGAAATACATKTACGCAAATGATTCAGCTTCGTTTTAGCGCGGTTAAAAAAAAACTAAGCATGAGTGCTAAAAAATATCTTTGAYATCGAGTGAACAGACCGTTAACTATTAGGGTTGTACCGCGCTTAAACGGAGTTGTGTCAGTTGGGGTCACAAACAACGACGTTCTTGGATATCTAGGCATGTTAAAACTTTAGTAGGAAGTCAAAGTGGCAGACTAACTCGAAATCGAGCAGAATAACAGGAAATCAAGGTTACTTAAAAATATTCACTATTTGAATTGCATACATTCTCGAAAAACCCCAATTATTTATTATCCTATCGCCCGCGATCAGCTTAAGCCTTTAAGCACTTATTGTCTGAAAAAATATTCCATGAAAAATGTTTAACGGATATTTACGCAGACCATGCCGCCACCGCAAACCACTTTGTTCTTGTAAGAGCTTATTTATGTCCTATAACACTTGGCCCTGTTTTGATAATCTCATACAAAGGCATTTCTTTAGAGGCAAAGTCATGTGCTTGAACACTTTTCAATGTTTGTTATAAGTAGTTTGCTTCCTGGCATTTTCTGTAAAGCTGCAACGAAGGCGTCCTTGGCCTTTTGCTTCTCTCCTACATGATWATAGCTATAACCAAGAAGTTTATATCCATTTACATCTTCACACAGGTCACACAACATTTGATATTCTTCGAAAACGCTCTTTAGTTTTCGTTAGTCATCTTCTTGTACTAAACATTTTACCAGGAAATAAAGCACAAAGATACTAGTTTCTTCGTTGTCAACAAATATGTCCGGGCATTCTGCGCCATGCCCCCCCCCCTCCCCCCCATCTCTCGTRCTCGCCTACAGACCTCCGCCCCCCAGTCCCAGGATACACCAATACACTATTCAAATTTCTCTGATCCAGGCCAAAGACTTTGTCATTAAAATCTTTTCTTGTGAAAATGAAAAAATTTAACGATTAACCAACGTGTAGCTCGTCGTTCAAAAAGCAGGAATGAGTAAGTGTTATTACTGGAACATATTCTAGAGCATATTCTAACCAATACAGTATTCAAATTGCACGAAGAACGTAGCTGCAGAAGGCAGCTAGCTGGAAAAAGACTCAGTAGAGGAACTGTTTGGTGGTTGTCATAGTTTTCAGCAGGTACGTGTAAACTACATGTACGTGTGGTTCCAAGAAAGCATAAGCTATTGATTTTCATGYGTCATCAGTCTCAACAAATATATCGTCTTGACAATTCGACAACTGGCAATGTTTCAGTCGCATCAGTTAACAAGCACAACTGTCAGGCCACTGGAAAAAGTGCTTACAGTAGTTTTATAAACGATATAGATATCATGTAGAATGTTTAAAATGAAGTGGTATGGAATTTATTGGCTTGTTATAATTTCTAGTCATACTTTGCTCGAAACATCGAAATGATTAGATATAATTTTTGGCGCGCCTTTACCTTAATTAACCGCCTTCACTTTGGGAAGGATARGTAAACTTAATTATCTTTGTGTGACACGAGGTCAAGAGATAGTGAATCAAGTATTTTGTTTTTATGCATGCAGTAAATTAATAACCKTATTAACCATATTGCGACAACTTTCTTTGAAATAGAAGTAATTCAATAATTCAATTAGTAATTACAAGGTAAGAGTGTTAAAAATATATTTACAGCTCACGTGCCATTGAGTTAACAGCTAATTTTACGGCGCCAAAACRACTGATACAGGGTCACAAAGTCAGTATTCTAATCTTCGGTTACGACCGTGCTATCTACAAGGATATTGAGGCATTCTAAAACCGCGTCAGTAGGAAGGCAAAATGGCAGAATAAATCCAAATCAATTATCTTATTGTCGGAGTAATGATAAAAAGGTAAATTATTCATTACTCCGACGAAGGACTAGCGTCCGAAACGTCAGTAAGTTTTTTCATCTTTTTCACGGTGTATAATTTACCTTTTTATCATTACTGTTTCATCAGAAACACCGACGCAGCTCACACTAGTTTTTAGCTAGATAATTTATCTTATTGTCGATAATCAGCTGAACGTTTAAGCTCCTATTGTCTGAAAAATTTCCAATGAATAACGTCGAATGGAAATTTATAACKTAAACCATGCCGCAACCGCAAAACCACTTTATCTGGTAAGCTTATATTATGTCCTTTGGCATTTGGCTCTGTTTCGAGAATATTTTATGAAGGCATGTCTTTACTGCCAAACCATGCCAGATGCGAAATTACGTGCTTTGACATTTTTCAATGTTTGCTATAAGTAGTTTGCTTCCTGGCATYTTCTGYAAAGCTGCAACGAAGGCGTCCTTGGCCTTTTGCTTCTCTCCTACWTGATAATAGCTATAACCAAGAAGTTTATWWCCATTTACATCTTCACACAGTGAGCACACCTTTTGATATTCTTCGAAAAAGCTCTTTAGTTTGGTTACTTCATCTTCTTGTACTAAACATTTTATCAGGAAATAAAACACAAAGATAAGCGACGGCGCTTCTATTTTCATATGTGTCGTTATTTCTAACTGTAAATCTGAATCAAGACATATTTGTTCACTGTATCCAAATTCYGTTACATCACTTTGGATTTCTTCCTTTGTCTTTTTATCCGCTTCGTCTACCACGGTTTCAAGARTTCGTATGGCCTCCTTGTATCTTTTTTGTGTCATAAGAATGGTAGCATGCGTGACATGTGTTCCGCAAGACTTTAAACCCTGGGCTTCGATTTGTTCCTGTATAACTTGCCCTGCCTTCTGTAGATATTCATTTCTCTCGGGCGATTCTTCTGGATAGGTGTGTGAAGCTGCATGGTACGCACAAGGCAGATTTTCATAGAAATGCTTAAACTCTGGATAGTGGTCGGCCATTCCGAGCAGTTCTTGAATCAAAAGGARAAAAAGCCGGCCATCTTGGATTGCAATCGACGCTTCGTTTAGATAGTGAATAAGAGGCATCGGACCAAGATATCTGTTTATCATYGGATAAGARTCCATTAAAATCTGAACAGCATCTTTTGGTTTGCCTTGGTYYAARAGAAGCAAACTCATTCTGAACGACGTTGTGAAAAACGCATCGAATGCGGATTTTYTRATGTCTCTGTGGACTTTGAACTTTTYCATGTCTTCCAAGACGTACGCAATATTTGTACGAAATACAAATGGAATCTCAATATTGCTAATAGCATTTGTGTCAGTAAAATTCAAAATTGGTGATATAGGATCTTTCCTTATTTCAAGGAGTCTTGCTTCCACTTCTAGCCATTTTTCGTCTGGTACGTGATCMACAAGATTATTCTTTGGTATGAAAAAACTTGGGATGTTTTTCCGTTTAACACAACTTATCAAACTATCAAGCAAGTAAAGCAAGCACTGTCCAATATGGGTCTCCCAGTAAGACTTTGGAATAGCCTCACATGCATAGAAGAAGACTGTYTTCAAACAGTACGAGGAAAGCACATCCAAATCTTTCAAACAAAGGTACCGTAGTATTTTGAAGTAGATATAACACTGCCGTTGAGCATCAGTTACAGCACTTTTTGCTATTCGTTTTTCTGTAGTTGCAAAAGAAATTCTCCATTCTACATCTGGATTAAGGCTTTGCTTGTGCGCAACTGGAACGACATGGTATCCTTCTGTAACAATGGCTTCCACCAAATCATTTTCAAGCCATTTTCCTTGTTTCGCTCTTTCCACCCATTCCCTTGCCTCCAAGGGCCATTTGTTAACTTGAACAGCGAGAACCATGTCAAGGTCAATCCTAAGACCATAGGTTTGTATATTTTCAGCATTTAAGATGGTCGAGTACTCTACCGACACTGCTGGACCATGAATCAATATGGATTTTTGATCGTCTTCAGGACCACTGCTGACGACTTTCTTGTGCATTCTATTCTGAATCCTCTGCCCGCTCAGGTACTTTTTATCATTCAGAGTAATAACATCTCTGAGGTCCTCGGTGCACTTGTGTAAACGCACTCTGGTGTAACCTGGGTGAACGTCTCCAGATTCCAATGTCGCTTGGATATTTAAACACTGGATAGGATCTGATGTGGATATCCGGAAATCCTTCTCGACAAACAAGATATCTGCGTCTGCATGAGTGCCAAGCTCTGAATTTAGTTCGATTGACATGGAATGTGGAATATTGAGACCCTCTGTTGAACTGCCCACCGGTACAGCATTTGTTATATGTTTCTCCTCACAATATGCTTTGAGCTGTGATTCGAGGTTGATGTCTCGATCTAAAGTTACCAGTCGTTTAGGAAGTAAAATGCTGATGACGTAAGACAAATGGTGTGGGGAGAGGCTGGCTTTTTCGTCCCATTCTTCTACCATAAACGGCACTGCAGATAAAAAATATAGAAAATTGAGGTTAAAGTTTGGGTTCAGAGGGAAAAATAGATAAATAAAGACGCAATAGTTTGATCTGTATGTCAATCTTAGGCATGTAAAATTATATCGAATAAAGTCGATACATCTTCGCGACAAGATCAGTCGGGAAGAACGACTTGCGCTAAAATTCGGACTTCACTTGAGACGAACTAAGTGCAAAAATGTCAATGTAAGTTTAAATTTCTTGAGGACAAATTAAGAATGAGTTACGGCATAGTTCTTTGGAATTACGTAGCAAAATCAGCGAACAGTAACAMAATATGTGGGTCATGCAGACTTGAATCAAGACTATTTCTAAGCACTTTTTTTAAAGAATATCTGCTTATTTCACATGCAGTGTGAATAAATAATTTTTAGAGTGAATATGGTTATCTTATGTGAAAAAGTCCCAGACATGAGAAGGTCAAGATAAAAGGAAAATTAATTTAAAGTGCTCATACCTGGTAAGTCTTTACACAATATTTTCAGAATTCTTTAAATAGTAAATAGTTGATTGCGAAAAAAATTCGTCGTTTTAATGTCGAGATACGAAGGTTTATATTTCCAATATGTTAATGACTATGACGTAACATAAGGGATTTGAGTTATTTTGTGGCAACTTTTAATATTGAACGCTGGAAATTTTTGAAAACAAATTTGTAAGAGCCTTTACGTGAGTCACGAGTAAAAGGGTGATGCTTTTAAAATACCGTATTCCAGAACGAGTGCAGTGTTGTATATCAAATGATCCCTTATGTTACGACATAGTCATTTACATATTGGGAATGTCTAAAGAATCAATTTTGTGTAAGGGCTTATAAGCACTTTAAGCATGACGCAACGCTCTTGTAAAAGCGGGACGTAAAAGGRGCACAGGGAACCCAATACCTCAAGTTTGCCATGCGACAGTTTGATTCTATAAAGAATCAAAAGTATAAACAAATGGCTAGCCATATTGTCAACTGAAATGTAATCTGCCGATCTGTATGGGCACATACAAGGTACAGCCACGAGCTAAGTCTACAAGGTAGTCTCTCTTTGCAGCCGTTCTTAGTGTTGGCCTTAAAATCCCTCCCCACTAACGTCTGCTCAAAGGAACACAGCATTCCTTTACCATTGTTCCGTCGAAAAATCATTTGCCCAAAACAATGTCATCAATTGTCCTGCAGTGACCAGTCATTATGTAGGTTATATGTAGCTTTTATTGCGGTCAATAAAGGGTTTTTTCCTCGACAATATTTTATATAACAATAATATCGATCAATAGTATAAAGAACAAAGCTTCAGCTTTTGGAAGTCGCCCGTCGTTTGCTAAAATGTAATCATTTGAAATCGACGTATCAACAATCTGACAATATTTAGACGCTTCGCGAGTGGTATACTTATCCTCATAATGTCTTTTTTACAAGCGATTACTGAAGCTTAAAAAACTTAAAATTACCATGTAATTATTTTTTATCTTCATTAAATATTCACGAATTTCAAAAAATGTAAATTATCGTGTCCTAGTTTGCATGTACTATAGTGTTGTCTATAAACACTAAATTAATATTTTAAAGTTGCAAACCGATGCCTATTTGACTTTGTGGAGCAAAATTCGAATGCGAAGATTCAGGGAAGGCCTTTTAAATGTATTATTCTGTTTATATAACTCAAGTATATAATAT